AAAACCCCATCTATAAATATATTAAACAACCACGGGGGGACATCACCTCTTGTCTAAGGCCTTTTTTACGGGGAAAAAATTTCCCTTTTCCCAAACTTAACTTGGCCTCACTATCCTCGAAAAAACTCTTCATGTTTCAGAAAACCTACCCTACCCCCAACATTCTTTCCACCAATCGCCCTTTTCCCTCCTGCCCCCATTTCCTGTAACCCAAACTTTGCTGAAACACTCAAACCTACATTTTTAACCCCCCATTTTTAAAATATTTTAAAATTATAAATTATTAAAATTTTAACCCCATTTTTTAATATTTAAAAAACCGGGGTGCATCACAATCCTTGTTTTTGGCCTATTTTACGGGAAAAAAAAATTTTTCCCTTTTTCTACATACTCTAATTGAGCCTCCTACCCTCAAAAAAAAACCCTTTTGCTTTCAGAACCTCCCTTTCCTACACCATACATTGAACATCTGCCCATTGCCCCCCTATCCCCCGTCATACCCCTTTTCCCCAAACCCTAAAATCCCACAAAGCCCTTTTTTAGCCTTATCTAAATATGTTACTTTATGTTTACGTAAACCCCTGTCCACACACCCCTCCCTTTCCCAAAAAAAAAAAAAACCTCCTTGTTATCTGCTATCCTTTCCCCGTCTTACTCTTAATTCTTTAAATTTATAACCTCCCATCACTTTACCAGGTACACTCAAAGATTTACCCCCCTATTTTTTTTTGCACTCTTTTTTTATCCCCTTTGCCTTTAAAAAAGGGGAACTATGCTGCTTCTGCCAACCCCTAGGTACCTTACCCTCTTCCAACATTTTTTTAATAATTCCCCAACCCATCCAAAACTATACCCCCCCTGCTTTTAAATTTCTATCTTTACCCCATAAATTTCCCGGCTGCCTTACCCCTTTAAATTTATATATATTATTATATATTTTAAATAAAAGTTAAAAAAAGTATTAGCAAAGGGCGAAGGGGATTGTTGAGGTGGTTTGGTCATTAGGGGAAAAAGGATCAAAGTAGAATGACATAAAAAGCTTTATAAAACTATAGGGGAAGGAAGGAGGGGTGGGGGTCCCCTCAAAAGGGGTTGGGGAAAAGGGGGGGAAAGGAGGTTTTGTGGGTAAAGGGTTTGGATTCCCAGAAAGCGTGCTGAGCGTGTTAGATAGGAGTGAAGGGAGCGAATGATATTGGGCCTGAGATTGTTGGGTGGAGCGGGTAATATTTGTGGGGGATTCGGGGAAAAACCGGGGTTATTTTCTATAGTCGGATTTGAGTCCTGGAAAGGGGAAGTACAATGCTGTTTTTAAAGGAGGGGGGTTTGGGGATTGGCAGTTTGGAGGGATATGTTGTGTATCTTTATAATATAGCTTTGAACTGTTGTTTTTGAGCACCTCTGCAAAAGCAGTGATAATGTGTGGTGTGGTGAAAGTGTTGAATGTGATGAAAGTTTTTCTTTTTTGGGGATTTTCTTTCTTTTTTTGGTCACCTGCCCGGTGGGAGACGGCCGACTTGTTGGAAAAAAAAAAAAAAAAAAATTTTTTTGTTAATGATTTTCTTTTATATTGACAGTATTATTATGAAAACAGTTTCGTTGATGGGACGAATATTAAGCCCACATGGTGACCCTGACATCTATGTTGAGACCCTATTCTCAAATTGTGATGGATGCCACTCCAGATAGTTTTCGGCCATTGTTCCAGAAGCTCCCCTCTGGCAAATAACCATGCTGATCGAGTTTTTCATCTTCTTCTCACGTCCCCCTACATGCCTTATTTAAAAAGAGGACGCTTATATAAAGACGAATTACCGAGAACGCTTGAAAACCTACTGCGACCTATTGTCTAGGGGGGGGGGGGTTGTTTTTATTTTGGGAAAAATTGGTCATCTTGTGTTTTTTAAAACTATTGAAAGAGAATATGTCATCATTTAAATATTATAGGCGAAAACCCCCGTTTTTCTAGAATGAGACTTTGGGTTTGTTATATTATTATTGCTAAACTATATAAAAAATACCATGGTATTGTCGTTTTTTATTTTTTTTTATTATTTTGTTGTTGGGTTTGGGATTTCTTATGCTTTATAGAGCATAAGTCTCAAAAACCACCCGGTAAATTGTTCAATTGTTTTGTCGCTGATGCGTTTGGGTCAGGGGTCCAACCTGACGATGGGAAAACAGACTGGAGGTGTCATTTCCGCTCCCTGTTCTAGCCTTGACAATGATGTATTTTGGTTCTCTCTTAGGGTGTACAGTTTGAATGGGTTTTGGAATTATTCTTGAGCTGACCTTTTGTTCCTCATTGTCTAAAGATTGTTTTGTTTTATATTCTTGGTCGTCCAGTAACCCCTTTAGATACGTTTTCTCAGACAACTTTGCTTTCTATTTCCCTTTTACGGCCGGATTCAAGGTCTTGTTGAACTGTACATTTTGTAGTTTGAGTTTACACTCTTGTTAAGACAAAGACGAAAATGTTAGTAAAGATTTAAATTACAGGAAGAAAATAAATCTTCCTTTATTAATGTGAACTTCCTTGATTTTGAACAAAATATGATTTGAAAATTTATTGTACAAAGTATTTTAAAATTTTTTGGTACAGAGAAAGATTAAGTTTTTTTTTTTTTTTTTTTTTTTATCCAGGGCCCGTTTCCCACCAGGAGGGGGGCCCCAAAAAAAGAAAAACTTTCCCCATCATTCACCCCATCACGTCTTGCCAAAAGGGTGCTTTTACATCAGTTTTTTTAAAACTGCAACATTACCCCCTCCTTCAGAGTGCGGGCCCTGTATTCCCTCTCCAGGATTTCAAGTCCGGCCTGCTGGTTCCCTGAATCCTTCATAAATGTTACTTTGTCACACCCCAACAGCAGTCAAGTATTAAAAAACCATTTGTCTTTCACTCCTATGAAACACGTTCCGCATGCCTGCGGAAAGCCCAACCCCCCTCGCACACAAAACCTCCTTTCCCCCCTCCCTCCCCCCTTTCCTAGGCCAACCCTACCCGCCTTCCTTCCATACAGACTGATACACTTTGAAGTCTTTCTGTTTCGCTATTCTCTCTACATGTCCGAACCACCTCAACAACCCTTTCCTCCCCCTCTGGACAACGTTTTGGTAATCCCGCACTCCTCCTAATTCCAAATACAAATTTCTCTGCATTATATTCACACCACACATTGCCCTCAGCATGACTCTCCACTGCCCCCCAGCCTTTCCCGCTGCAACATTCTCCCACGCTTCCCCCCATTAAAAGGCTTTGGGTAAACTATTTTCCTACATTCCCTCTTTGCCCCAAGGAAAGTTCTTTGCTCACGACTCCAAAGTGCACCACTCAACTTTTTCCCTCATAAATTCTATGATTCACCTATCTTTCTTAGACCCATCGCTGACACGCCCACTCCCAAATTTGAATGTTCACCTCCTCCTACTCTTCCCCCCCAATTGATATCCATTTTCATCCCCTAATTTTTTGTTACCTCAAAACCTTCTTTTTCTGTTTTCCCTTTAAATTTTCTTCTTTTGAAACCCCTACAAATTCATCCCCCCAATCTTGCAACTAAAGATAAAGTTTTTTAATTTAAATACTTTAATAAATGGAAATTTTTTTATGGAGTTTTCCCGTTGAAATTATTTCCCCAGACTCTAAAATCCCTTTTAACTAACTTGACCCAAATCTTGTTGCATAAAAAAAAAATAGTAACAGCCCTTTCAAAGTTCTTTTAAAAATTTTTTATTCGCAAATTTCTTAACATAGTGCCAGCAATTTACAACATTAATAAAGAATTATATGGATTAGATTTTTAAAAGTAGGGAAAAAAGAAGTGTAGAAAAGAGAGTTTTTGGGGAACTGTTAGGTGAAAGCTGAAAGAATTTTGAACCAAATGAGAAAATTTTTATGTATAATCAGCTCTCATCTTCGGCTGAGGGACTGATTACCTCAAATCCTCCTCTTCCACCATTCTTCTCTTTTAAAGAACTGAAGAACCCCTAGTTGGTGAAATTATCCCCAATAAAGAAAAGTTGCACAAGTATTCAATTTTTCAATCTGTTGCTTTTTAAACTTTTACACTTTTTAAAAAAAATTTCATTACTTTGGGCCCGGTTTACGCAAAAAACACCACAAACTCGTAGTAACACTAAATTTGCAAACATGCAATTGTTTAAATTTTAAGTTTATTGATTGTGCCCACAATGGCCAAAAGCTGGCATATTTATTACATTTCGGAGCAAATTTTATGGGAATTATTAAGATTGCTTCCCCAAAAGAATTTTTTAACAATCAGCCCTTCCCCCAAGACGGGTGACCCAGTAAGAATTTTTTTTTCTTCTTTCTGCTTTTTAATTTAAAGGGAGAAGGGGGTTACTAGTCCCTTTTCTCCTGGCATTTTGTTCTTTCAGACAACAAAAGAAAATTTTTTTCATTGTTTTTAAATCATGGTAGAGAAAACCAGTATGGTCATACAGTGCCTGGGGGGGAATGGGGAATTATGTTTGATCCAAGGAAGGGGAAAAAAAGGCCCAAACCTTAGATCAAAAGGCCCCCCCACCAGGGGCCCCAAAAAAAATAAAGGGTTGGGGGATACAAATTTTACATGAGCCCCTTTATGTATGCCCTTTCGACTTATATCTTTAATGCCCTTTTAATAGTATATGTAAAATGTTTTTTTTGTTTATTCATAAAGTATTAATCTTATTTCAGGTTTTGGTTGCCCAAAAGAGTTTTACATGTATTTTAAAAGTATACAATTTTGTAAAAGGAACTTCTATGGGAATTATTTTATTAATTATTATATTTCCAAGGGATGATAGTGGTTCTTTTTGTACTACAAATCATTGTAAACCCTCACTGTAAACTACCTATGTATATATATGTATACTTCCTACAATATGTCAACCACATTGTAAACTTGCAAGGAAATAAAAAATCTAAATCTAAATCTACCTGGTCCATGGATCATCAATACGTTGCAACTACTCAAGACAAGTATTTTGACCCAACTTACTGATTTCATAGTTGAGGATTTTCTCTCCTTGCTCCCAGTGGCTCCACAATTTTTAAATATGGGGGAGAAAAACCCCAGGTCACACAGACGACCGATCATCCCCAAAAAATTTTTCCTGCTCAGCATCTTGGTTAAAACCGACCAGAACGTATTCTTCAGGACCGCAGAACTCGATCAAAGGGATTTTTCGCCCCTGCCATATTTCTCTGATAAATTAAAAAAAAAAAAAAAAATTTTAAAATTTTTTCCTTTTTTAAAATAGCAAAAAACATTAAAAGCATATCCCAAAGGCTTGTACAAAAAAAATAGTATTAGTTTATTTAGGGAACAGGTACACATAAGTTTAAAAATCATAATGTGAAAAATTAGCTAAAAAAGGGGTCGCAAAATTTTCGGTGCGGGCCCACATTCAAAATTTACAGCCCTTTGCCAGTAAAGTGTTAATGTTCCAGAATTTATTTGGGGTTTAGTGGGAAATTTTTTTTTTTTTAAAATTTTCTAATATTTTGTCCCCAAATAAAATGAGTTATTACTTGAACTTTTCGGCCCCATAAAAACATTAACCGGCGCATGCGGCCACAGGCCATGTTTGCCCCCCGTTTGAGTAGAAAAACCCCAAAAATGCCAAAGTGACTTATTTCCACGGGTCCTTGTACCTAAGTCCTTGACCCAATTTTCCCTTTTACCCAATACCTTGTACCTAAGTACCTTGTACCTAAGTACCCCGTACCCAAGTAGTGGTTGGTGACAGAACCACCCAGGGAGGGGTTACCGTCCCGCCAAGTAAAGTTTTAAAACCAAAAAACCTGTAATTGTTTTCATGATGGTAGGATTGCTGGGTTTTTTGTCCCGTCTCTAAAAATATGCAGATTCAGGCGTCTTGTACTTCTACTTACCTTAGGTCACCTAACATACATGTACACATTTATTTATACATCTCATTGGTTTTCTTTGATTTTATTTTATAGGGGTTTTTTTCTTTTTACTTTTTCCTTTTTTTCCATGGGGGAATGGGAAAAAGTTTTTCCTCCATAAGCCATGGTGTTGTAAAAGTCAAATAAAATGCCGGAACATTGGGTAGTAACCCCCTTTTTTGTAAATTTTTATTTTTTTTTATTTCACACCGGCCGATTCCACCAAGGGGAGGGTGGCCCGAAAAAGAAAAACTTTCACCATCATTACTCCCTCATGTCTTGCCAGAAGGGTGCTTTACCCCTAAGTTTTTTTAAACTGAAAAATTTTCACCCCCCCGTAGAGTGAGGCACTGTATTCCCTCTCCAGGATCAAGTCCGGCCTGCCCGGTTTCCCTGAAACCCCTTTATAAAAGTTACTTTGCTCACCTCCCAAAAGCACTCAAGTATTAAAAACCATTTGTCTCCTTCACTTTATCAAACGCTCAGCATGCTGTGGAAGTTCAAGCCCCCGCACACAAAACCTCCTTTACCCCCCCCCTCCAACCCTTCCTAGGCCGCCCCTACCCCCCCTTCCTTCCTAAAATGATCACTCTTGAAAATCATTCTGTTTCGCTCCATTCTTTCAGTCGAAACCCCCTCAACAACCCTTCCTCAGCCCTTGGACAAAAAGTTTTGGTAATTCCCCCACCTCCTCCTAAAATTTCCCAAACTACGAATTTTCTTGATTTTTCACACCCCACATTGCCCCCAGAATGAATCTCCATGTCCCGCCTTCTCTCGCTGCCATTTATCACCCCGCTTCACACCCTATAAGAGGTTGGGAAAAATTTACTTCTACATTTCCCCCCTTTTTCCCCCAAGGACAAGTTCTTTGTCTCCACAGACTCCAAGTGCACCACTACTCTTTTTCCCTCATCAATTCTATGATTCACCCCATCTTTTATAGACCATCCGCTGACCGTCCATCCCAAAAATTGAATAGTTTCCCCCCTCCATACCTCTCCCTCCAAACGATATTTAAACTTTCATACCTAATCTTTTTGTTATCCTATAAACCTTACTTTTCCTTTTCAACCCCTTAATTTTCTTCTTTTGCACACCCTACAAATTATCCCCCAATCTCTGAATTCTCTTCAGAACTCCCAAGAGCACGTGTCTCGGCCCAAAAAGGGGGTTGAAAAATCCCCCTTTGTGTGTGATTTTTTATCTTTTAATCCCCCTCTTGCCAAGACCCTCGCATTTACTTCTCTTAAACCCCATCTATAAAAATTTTTAAAAACCACGGTGCATCCAATCTTGTCTGGCCCACTTTTTATGGGAAAAAATTTCCCCCTTTCCTACAACTCTAACTTGACCCCCACTATCCTCGTAAAACTCTTTTACTGCTTTCGTAACCTACCCCTACACCTACACTTGCAACATCGCCCCATTTTCCCCCTATCCACCCTGTCTACGCCCTTTTTCCAAACCCTAAATGCCACAAAGACTCTTTTTGCCTTATCTAAATATGTTTACTTTTAGTTTTCCCGTAAACCCTGGTCCCCACACCCCTACCTTTCCTAAAGCCTCCTTGTTCATCGCTATCCTATTCTCCGTCTTACTCTTTAAATTTTTTCAATTATAAATCTACTACACTTTACCAGGTACACTCAAACGACTTATCCCCCCTTTAATTTTTTGCACTTCTTTTATCCCCCTTTTCTTTATCAAAAGGAAAAATGCATGCTCTTGGGCCCAAACCCTAGGTACCTTACCCCCTTCCTACATTTATTAAATAAAATTTCCCAACACTCCAAAACTATTCCCCACCCGCTTTTAAAAATTTCTATCTTTATCCCCTCAATCCCGGCTGCCTTACCCCCTTTCATTTTACCTACTGCCTCACGAACTTCCCCCACACTCACAACTGGCCTCTTCCTCACTCCTACAAGATGTTATTCCTCCTTGCCCTATACACGAAATCACAGCTTCCCTATCTTCATCAACATTTAACAATTCCTCAAAATATTCCTTCCATCTTCCCAATACCTCTACCTCTCCATTTAATAACTTTCCTCTCCTATTTTTAACTGACAAATCCATTTGTTCTCTAGGCTTCTTAACTTGTTAATCTCACTCCAAAACTTTTTCTTATTTTCAACAAAATTTGTTGATAACATCTCACCCACTCTCTCATTTGCTCTCTTTTACATTGCTTCACCACTCTCTTACTTCTCTCTTTTTCTCCATATACTCTTCCCTCCTTGCATCACTTCTACTTTGTAAAAACTTCTCATATGCTAACTTTTTCTCCCTTACTACTCTCTTTACATCATCATTCCACCAATCGCTCCTCTTCCCTCCTGCACCCACTTTCCTGTAACCACAAACTTCTGCTGAACACTCTAACACTACATTTTTAAACCTACCCATACCTCTTCGACCCCATTGCCTATGCTCTCATTAGCCCATCTATCCTCCAATAGCTGTTTATATCTTACCCTAACTGCCTCCTCTTTTAGTTTATAACCTTCACCTCTCTCTCCTGAATCTTCTATTCTCCTTGTATCCCCATCTACCTTTTACTCTCAGTGTAGCTACAACTAAAAGTGATCTGATATAGCTGTGGCCCCCTATAAACAGTACATCCAGAAGTCCTACTCAACAGTCTTTTATCCTACCAATACATAATCCAACAACTACTGTCATTTCGCCCTACATCATATCGTGAATACTATTTATCCTCTGTTTTCTAAAATATGTATTACCTATAACTACAAACCCCTGTTCTATACAAAGTTCAATCAAAAGGGCTCCCAGTAATCAATTACACCTGTCACCCCAAAACTTACCTACCACAACCACCTCTCTACAAGTTTCACACTACTATAGCATTCAGTCCCTACCACCACAATTACTCACTCACTTGTTCAGAGGCTCCTATACATTCACTTAACATCTCATCTCCCAAAATCTCTCATCTCTCCTCTGCATTCCCCTCTTCTCCAGGTTCATACAAGCTTTTTATGACCCCTTCTCGCATCCAACCTTTTACCTTTAAATCCACATAATTCTTGAATTTACACATTCATATTCTCTTTTCTCCTTCCATACCTGAATCATTTTAACATTACTGATACCCCTTCCTTTGCTCTAACTCTCTCAGAATACTCCTAGTAATAATTACTAAAAAGAATAAAGAAGAACACTGTCCAAGTGGGATGTCCGAATAGGCACATGATTGTTGTGCGAATGCTAAGAAAGGATGGTTTGTGGATGTTAGACTGAGAAGAAGCATGGATGTCCATGGCTTTAAGTGAAACAAAGCTGAAGGGGGTGGGTGAGTTTCAGTGGAGAGGAATAAATGGGATTAGTCCTGGGGTTTCAAATAGAGTTATAGCTAAAGAAGGAGTATCAAAAAAGTGGAAGAATAGCTAGGGCAAGAAAAGAGGACTATAAATGTATTAATTCAAGGATTATGTGAGTAAAATAAGGTTGGATGTGAGAAGTGTATAGTAAGCATATATGCACCTGTAGAACGAGAGAATGTAGAGAGAAGGGATATTTGAGGGAAATGTGATGAATTCATGGGGATTATTTGAATACCAAGTGTGAGAGTACTTTGCGGTTGAGATTTCAATGTGCTAGAAGTGGATAAAACTATTAGTGGATGGATTTACAGGTCCTCCATCACAAATCCAGGCAATCATTGGGACTCTGTTAGTGGTGCCGAATACTGAGTTTTGGCCCCTGATTACTGATGGTTAGGTTTGAATACACCTAATAAAATTAAGCAACTTGACTTACACAAAGATTCATTGAAACATCGGCAAAGTCGAGACATTTCCCGCAACTTTGAGCTCAATTCAAGGTAACTTTTCATCATGAAAGCAATCAAATCCTGTCATTTCTGTAATATATCTCCATTCCTATCATTTGGAATCAAAAAAATGAGAATATTCAACCATAAAAACATCCGAAGAATACTGCAAAGAGCGGCTAATGGCTGAGAAGTGAACTCCCCTTATTTATTGTCCGTCTTTTTTTATTTTGTTGTATGTTAAAAAGCATCATTCCATCATACATTTGCCCAAGTTTCAATGAATAGCCCAACAAACATCCTAAAAAAAAAATATTTTACCAAAATCTACATGGCAAGCCTCAGCCAGGTAACTGGAAATAAGTCACTTTGTCTGAACTTTTCAGGGTTATTCCTACGTTCTCTATACATACACTCTATTTCAATGATAATCTATGTAACTGTATTTGTGTAACCGAATAAACTTATGTACTTCTAGTCTTCAACTGAGTAC